ATGTTAATCTAAAGATTAGGTTAGGAGCCTAAGTTATCCTAGGGAGGTTAACCAAAGGATTCGGGTTACGAGCCCGAAGTTTAAACTCGGTTTGTGAAGGGGGCAGAGTAGATTTAACTGTCTTGTCTTGTTACATGTAGCGTTATAAATTCGACTGAAGTTTGTTGCTTTAGCATTTTTTTCATTCTTTGAGGTGCTTTAGAAATGTGCACTCAATCTCAGGAACGGTCTGTCAAAGTGGTTGGAGCTGATGGAAAATGTTTTACGATGTAAAACGGCGTTGATCGACCTCGATGACTCAGAAAAGACTACTTATCGCGATACATTGATGCAGGCTTATAACTTCGTCTTTGAGGTATTACTTTGCTGTTTTTAATATTTTCCATATTTATGGTAGTTGTCCCTGCTTGCCATATAGTGAATAGTTCTAGCAGTTTTAGGTTCGACTCGAGTTTCACTGTACTCTGTAAGTGCAATGTCCATAATATATTTTGATGTTTCGCGACACTGTTGGACTGATTCGAATTATTCTGTTTATAATTCAAGTATGCTAAACACATATTTAAACACTGCCTTTATAGCATTGCCTTAATTTTCGATTGGTTATCATTATGAGGCTTTCGATCCACTACTATATGATAGTTTCTCAATGACTTTGCCAAAAAACTGTTTTCTGTATTTTCTATACGTTTCTTTGGTTCATTCTGCCATTGATCTGGAGGATTTACTACGTACCGTTTGCTATACCTCGAAACTCAGTCTAATACCTCTGTAATGAACGATGACCAGCGGTCTTGCCATGTGTTCTATCCATTACCGCTTTACTTTCTTTACTCTGACAGTGTCATTATAGACTCAGTTTCTACTCTAATCCATTCATTTGTAATCTGATATTTTCTTGTCGTTCATCTTAACACATCTTTCGATGCTGAATTGCGCAGTCTGCAGTTTATGAATAGTTCTCAGGTTTAAGGTCTCCACGTTTCGCTTCATACGTTAACAAAGGAAGCGCATATTGCTGAACATTTTTTCGTTTCGAGCGCAAGAGCAGTTGCCGGGGTAAAAATATTTGTCTTCTAAAAATGTTCCATGCCATATTTGTTCTTATGCTGATTCCTCGTAGTCGGTTCTCCTTTGCAAATATGATATACTTAGTTTTGCACTTCGTCAAGATTAAGTCCATTGACTTCAACCGCTCAGTGGGTCACGTGTTGAACATGATCTGAGTCCTCTTCAGGTTGATTTTCAGGTACTTTGATTCTGGCGTTGTTCGGTTCTTGGATTCTTCTCTGGGTTCTTCCGGCGCCCTTGTGAAGATCAGGATGTCATGCACAAACAGCAGGAGGCTTGAGTAGGGCTATTTATGCTCAGCCCATGATCTTCCCAACCGAGTATTTTCTAAAAATCTCTTTTAGGACTAGTGTGAATAACCGGTGATATTGCGTCGCCATGTTGCACGTTATTTTCGATTTTGAACTTGCTTTGGTTTCGCCATGTTGCATTCATATAAATCAATTCTATGAGGTCTCGGTATCTTTCTCGATTCCCTACTTGTGAAGCACAGAACACATTCAGACTCAGTCTAAAAGGTTCTAGAATTTAACCCTGATATTCGTTGCTTGCCTGATTTACTTGTTGTACCACTTGAAGACGATTGGTCGTACAAAATTTATTTCTGAATCTTGCTTGCACCTTTGCATGTTTAGCATACAGTTTTTCTTGAAGTCTGTTCATCAGCACCTTCGTGAAGACCTTGTAGATCTAGTTGGTAAAAAATGGCCAGTAATTCTTTAAACCCCTGCTGTCTCACGTTGTGTGCAGTAGAATCATCGATGCGGCAATCCAATCGTCTGGAATATTCAGTTCTTTCAGATACCATACAAACAGATGCGCTAATATCTTGGCCATTGCTTCATCTCCTTATTTCACGAGTTCTATTGTAACGCCATCCTCGCTAGAAATCCTTCCTCGCTTCGCCTGATTTATTGCATGTCCCATGTATTCTGGCAAGATGAGGGGAATGTCGTCAGTTTCACTTGTACCGTAAGTTTCCTTACCGCTTTCTTCGCTATTGCTCTTTTCCTCCTTGTACAATTTTCTGTAGAAATCTTCCAAGTTCTTTAAGATCTCTTGTCTGTTGCTGATGAAACCCGCATCTTCTGCTTTGACAATAAGATTAGTCGTTTCTCCACCGTCAATCTTTGGTTCAGTTCAGTTTCTTCATGCTTCGGTTGTTTTTGATAGTTTGCATGAAAATGCTCAGACTTTCTCTTTCACGAGTTTCGTTTAAGTTTTACAAAGTTGCCTGTACTCCATCTTTTATTTATGATCTGTTGATGTCTTCATTTCTCTTTGGTTCTTCATTAGATCTTTGTTAGCTGCGTGGTTTTATGGTCTGTTGTGGTTCTCCGATCCGGAGACGCTTTCTGCCGGTGCTGTGACTGCCTTATCGGATGGGATATTATATCCTGATGCATTACATTATTGTTCTCTGTTTTTCCTGTCGTACATTCCGCAAAGAACATGCATTAATGTTATGAAACGCATAAGTTTTGCAGAAGTTGAGTATCATAGTGGTCATAAGCTTTATGGCACGCCTCTTTGCTTACTGTAAATAAACAGGTCTCTCCCCGCGGATAATGTAACAGTTGACCTTTTTTACAACGATTTGTAAGTCAGTGTGATAAAAACGAGACTGGCGATTTTCTCTGCAGTTCTGTTTTGGCATACATGTTATCTTACTTGGCTTTGTCACTATTTCCTTTTGACGATTCATGAAATGGACGATAGAACCTTTTCTTCAAGTTGTACTGCGCATGACATTACTTGGTCGGCGAATCGCTTCATCGGTATTTCGAAATTCATGGACCTGTTCTTGGTATTACACTGATGGCACGGCGCTTGCGATCGCAATCCAATATCTTTCTTTGCGTTATAAATGGGGCACATACCAGGAACACAGAAGAATCTGTTTTCAGCCCAGTTTAGTTCTTCCCCTAAGCCAGCATGAATTCTTATGATAAACTCGACAAGCGTCTCTTTTGTCCCTCATATATTTGAAAAGAAATCTATTGTTTTCAATGTATGCCGAATTCAGAGCGATGTTCGCCACCGCGATCACAGTCTTTGGCATTCGACTTTAAGCGGCCTACACAGATGTAAAGCTCTGTTCAGGAAGTCAGAAAACGAGTAAAAAATGAGTCAGTAAATATGCAAGAAAGTAGGAAGTAAATTAACGAGCGAATAAGAAAAAACATTCAAGTAAACTAGGATGCGCATGAGTGGGTAATTAAGCTAATAAGTGAATAGCAGGGCAAGTATGTATGAAAGAAAGTAAATCAGTGAACAAGTTAGTAAACTACTAAACAAGTAAGTAAGAATGGACATAAGTAAGTCAGGAAATTACTTGTCGAATAACTAGTAATGTAATGCGTAGTTAAGGAAGCTATATAGTAGAATATTCTCAATCTTTATACGTAAGAAATTTAATTGAATCAGTATGCATGAATATAAGTA